TTATGTTTAGAACCACTGTCAAATCATTGGCAAATAACTTCCTTAAAACTAAAGGATAATGGGTCAGCAATGAGTAAATGTACCTAAGGTAAGGTCTACTAATAACAGAAAAAATCACGGAATCAAATTTTAAAAAACGTTGAAACATTTACAATTTTTAAGCTAGAGAACACGATTTTTTATAACAGTTTTTTGAATTCAAACAACTACACTCGAGTAAATCGGTCCACACGCAAAAATGTTATCGTGACTTCAGGCCCAAAAAAATAAACACATTGGCAAAACTAATACCTTCTCAGCTGTCGCATCGAATCTAAAAGGAAAAATCACTCTCGCGCCATATTTTAATTTCAGGTTGCTATGTGTGAATGTATCAACAGCCAACAGGTATTTGACAAATATGTTTATTGTTGTTGGTAAGCTGTGGTAGTCATTAAAGAAGAACGAAAAATTGTTCTTATATTTTTTTGTTCCACTTGTCTTCTGGAGTAAAAAAAATTTTCCTAATTTTTTCAAATTTTTCAAATTATTTTTAGCGGATACGAGCATCAGTTTTTCAAAAATGTTTGGTTTTTTAGTATTAGTTTTCTTTACGTATAAATTAAAATTAAATTTTTATATTTAAACAGATGGTATTGTATAAAATAGTATTACTATTTTTTATTTTTAACTAATTAAAGTAAATAATTAGAACTAGCTTAGGCCTTAGAAAGTATAACTATGAAAATATTTATAAACTAACCCTTAATATTATCCTAAAATATTTGTTTTATGGGTTTAAAAAAGAATAAATATATTTACAGGGTGTAATGTAAAGTTCTACCAAGCTTCAAATGAGACATTCGGGATGCTTTATGGGTATAATAAATGGTATTAATTTTTTTTTAATTTTAAAATTATTTAAATTATAACTCGTATCTCATTAAAAAATGGTCTAACGAAAAAAATAATTTCAGATTTGGAGAAATCTGGAGAAAAAATCTTGTTAAATTGATATGTAACAAGGTTTTTATCGTATCTGGCCACATATGCGTCCACAGGGTGACCACCGAGTGGCCATTGAGTGACCGGCATGTGACTAAAATCAACATATGGCACGTGACATATCATTTTGGGTTAGAATTTTATTCTCAATTCAGTGGTGTCCTTAGTAATATTTTACATGAAACGATGTTTCGCATGCTATATGTTGATTTTAGTCACATACCGGTCACTCAGTGGCCACTCTGTGGTCACCCTGTGGACGTATATGTGGCCAGATACCAAAAAAAATGTTACATATCAATTCAACAAGATTTTTTCTCTTGATTTCAAATCTGAATTAATTTTTTTGCTAGATAATTTTTTAATGACATAATGGTTCTATTTTAAATTTTAAAAAAATGAACACTTTTTTATTGTACCCATAACACTTATTGTATCCATGAATGTCTCATTTGAAGCTCGGTAGAACTTTACATTACACCCTGTGTATATTTGTTGGGTGTCTTTAGGGTAGTTTATTAAGGGTTAATTTGACGTTTACATATACGTTACATTCTATGGTCTAATTTAGTTTAAAAGTTGTATTTTTATATAAATAAAAAATACTAGTTTATTCCTCTTATTCTACTGATGACTTTTTATGCAAACAACATATTGTGCTTAAAATTAATATTTAATATTTTTGAAAAACTAGTGATCGCATCATCTAAAAATCTAAAAGAAATAGCGAAATATTGTTTTACTCCAAAAACATAATATTATAAGAGGAACAGAAAACAATTAAAAATAATAATTTTGTCTATCCTAATTACCATATTGCCTAAATATTACCATATTTAGTTGTAATTTTCTCATGAATTAACGATGTCAGGCTGGGAGTGAAGCAAAGCGAAAGCGTTTCCCTTTCAGTATGGGCGATACCGAGATTAAAAATTACCATATTGCTTATTGGTAATAAAGGTGACAAACTACTAGAAAAAAACAGAAGATTAGCCCCTATCATATCTACCCTAATACTTAAAGTACATTTCTGTGGCTTTGGTCTAACAGGCAGAGACAAATGAGCTTTAAAGTTTTTATTTTCTTTTAGCGCTATGGATTTTTTTCTATAAACTCTTCATAAGTAATTCATTTTTTGGCCTCAAAGAGTATCATCTTCAACACAGTATATAAAGGATAATTATTGCATTTAGCAGACTAACTCGTACATGCCCAAAATTGACACAGGCACTTTTAGACCCAAGCCACAAATGTATAATTGCAAGTGCTAAAATGAAAATACAGGCATGCAGCTATAACAGAATACACCAAGTTCTTTATAAACAATGTAACGACTTGAATCAATAACATTTTTTAGCGCTTTCAAATACTATATTATAAATCAGTATAGGTTGAAAAAACAATTAAGTTGTTATGGAACTTATATGCATTTCTACCTTAATGTCTTTTGGATAAACATTAAATTTATTTAGTATATTTATATATGTGTGCAATGGTTTTTATAGAACTAATAATTGAATCGCTTTATGCATAAAAAGTCTTAGTCCATAACATGAAACTTTTGTTATTTTTGAAAAAGTATTAAATTTTAAGACCTCTATTAAAGTCAATAGCGATTGGATAAATTAAATTCTATAAGATAATTTTTTTTTTCAAAAACGCAGTCTTGATAGTTTGTATTATACACATTAACAAATGAAATAACTTTTGTTTTAATGAATATTTTTAAGACTTTTTTTTTATAATTTGTACTCATTTGCGCTGTAAGCACCAATAAGTTACTAAAGGTTAAAGGGTAGGATGGGAGATGGAGTGCGGTAGAGAAATGCGTGCAGATAAAAATAGCTCTAAGCGCTTACTCTACCGCACTCCACCTCCCATCCTACCCTTTAACCTTTAGTAACTTAAAAATTAATTATCCAAATCTTTTAACAAAATGGCTATATTGAAATTTAAAAAAAAATGTAACAAAAAAATTTTTAAAAAAATTAAAAAAAGTAAAATAGTTAAGTGCAATAAAAAATGTAGAGCTATATTATAGCGCAAATGAGTATAAATTGTTAAAAAAAAAAATCTGAAAAATATTCACTAGAAGAAAAGTTATTTTATTTGTCAAATCATTGTGGGCCATCCTGTATAATATAGTATTATTATACTGTGGCCCTTATTATAAAAATTTATAATTATATGTAATTAATACACTTAAAATTTATTTTAATTAATCATCTTAAAAACAAAAAGTCTGTGTCATAAAACCAGTTTTATTAGCTTTCTAAACAACGAAATATATACATTAATATTAAAAATAAATTAAAATTAAAAATATAGGTATTTGTATAAAATATAACAACAACTAACTTGTATTTTTGATAATATGATTAATCATTATTTTTGTAAATAGTTATCATAACATTAGAAACATTAATATGAGAGTAACAGCCAACAGTCATATTGATAATATTATTTTCGCTGAAATGTGAACTAACGCCTAACATCCCTTTTCAACAAACCTTACCTGTATACTTACACCGTGAGATGGTTTCTTGACGAATTCGCTATCCGAGACTGGTCGTCAGTCCGTCGCCGTGTTGTTAGCTAGGTTTAGCTGTCATGCGTTTAAGTGTAAAACCAGAAATCGAAAATAAATAGATCTTTAAAAATTTGGAACTAGGTACCCACAATTGCTGGAATTACAATCTGATGCGAGGACGACGTCTATAGTCATATTTCAAAGGCATGATTCGACCCCATGATGGTTCGCACTGCGATACGGAAGGCAAGGGGAAACCACCGTATAAATCATCCCAAGAAATAGCAAAAGCTACAAACAAATCTCAGGATTGAATACTAAAGAAGAAGATTCGACCCTGAGACACAAATAAACATTAAAATTTTTCATTAATTTACCAGCAAATTTACCCTGAACCATACAACTAATAATTTTTAAATAAAAACTAAAATGTAGTATTTTATGGTTCTTGTTAATTTACAAAGTCCAAATTCATTGAGTTAAGTATTATGAAATGTATGTGTCGCACACTAATATTAAACCAAATTTAAATTACAAAAAAACGTACAATATAAAATATTATCTGATAAATTTATGAGGAACTTTGTTGAATAGGGCCCACGCTTTTCTCTTATGTCAAAAATTAAAGATGTTTAACATTATTTAAAATTGTAGTTAGTTTTCGGTTGTTTTCAAAGTAATTGACATTTTAAATTAAATGTGCTACAATTGATTGGTAAATTGTTCTTGTAATACAATTATTTTTTACTTTTTACTATTTATTAGAAAAGCAGTTAAGAACTGATTAGTGTTAATAATTTCAGATCACAAACGATCTACCGACTAAAAAAAGAATGGCCAGCGCTGCTGCTTGAATAAAAGTAGAGTATATTTGTTTTTATGTTTCAAAGAAGTATCTAAAGGTTAGACGGTTCAGAATTAAGTGTTTGGCGTTGTTTACTTTACGGATTTAGTAAGCAATGATTTAAAACATAAAGAATATCTAGAAATCAGTCAGCTAAAATATCAAATATCAGTAGTGTACTGTTACGGTGCAGTGGTGTACTGTTACGGTGCAGTGCAGTGAATGAATCACACACGACTGTCCGCCTTTTAAGGCTTAATTAAGGAATCCAGACGTGGTAGGAAGTTACTCTGTATCAACCCTATTATTCCTAGAGACTATTTATGTATTTTTATAATCACCTGAAAATCAAAAGGGTTGTCGTACCTTAAAATCAAGTAACTAAACTCTCAAATTGCAACGTACAATGTTATTTATTATACAAATTTAACGACGAGTAAGAACTAAGTTATCGATTAAAATATTAAAATGAATAAAAAGCAGTATGTATATAAAGGTTTTACACTTGTTACCTGGGTCCGTGTTAATTCGGATATAAAATAGGCGGAGTGACACACTCAAAAAATATAAAAAAAGAGCCGAACAATTATTAGGTAATTACTTGTTAGTAAATAGGTGTTGTATGGTAAAAAAAAAAAAAAAAAAAATTACATTTCAAAGTTGGCTTATTTCTACGTTTTATTATTAGTGTGGCACAAATAATGTGATGGTGCATTTAACAAGTTTTTTTTGAGAAAAAATAGTTTTATTAGTTTCATATTATAATACAAAAAATGCAATTAATTTATCCTAATGGCCATGGAAAAAAGTTGCCAAAAACCATAACCATATACAATGTATTCTTAAGTTAAGGATGCATGTGCTTTGGGGTTAAACATGTTTAAAATTAAATTAAATTAAATATTTACAGTTAAATTAAATTATAAAGCTACCTATAATAATTGGACTCAGGATTTTCCGCGATAGAGAAAATTATATTGTAAAATCATAACTCATAATCTGTAATATGATACAAAAAATTGTACATTTTAATATCTTGCTGATGGCTAACTTGCGTTTTATATTATAATGTGCTTTGTGTAATTAATAGCTTTATATTAAATATATTTACAATTAAAACTAAAAAATATAAAAACAAATAGGCAAATAAAAAAACATACTTTGAGTTAATTAATATAAATTGGAATGGAATAATCACATAATTTTTGCTTTTGCTCTTTTAGAGCGAAGCATTTTATTATTATATTATAACGTTTTGAAAAAAAAGTAATGTTTTAAGCTACGAAATAGTACGTTTAGGCAAAAACCAATTATCTCAATCGATTTGTCGCCAGTTTTACTCTAAGAATCGATGTCTTACTCAATTTTGTCAAAACTGGAGATTACACGTTCAGAATGGAAACATCTCATTAATAAGGAACGGGGCTTTTAAAAATCACAGCAAAGTACGAAAAACGAAGAAAACGGTCAACGCAACGGATTTACGTCGGTCACGGAAACGACGTTTCGGAATTTTAATCACTTTAGCCGACTGATTTATTAGAAAAGAAACGATTGTAATGATATTATATTATTCAATTGTACAATTCTTGATTCGTTATGTTCCATAGTCCCAATGCTCAAATGACTCCTATTATGAACATTAATTTTGATATATAAATGTTTTTTTTTAAATTTTAGACGTACTCGTGTGTAGTATGACTTACCAGGTTAGCAGACAGTGAAAATTAATTTTGCAAATCTATGGCCACTCGAATATTGTTATCAGAATTAGGATTATACCGTCGTTTTTCTTATATACCAGCCGGTATGTTTTGACCAGAAACCGGGTGTGTATACAGAGTGAATAAAAAAATCAATTGAAACGGAACTCTAGAAAATATAATATTATAGTTGTAATAACAATAAGATAAGTCAATGTAGAGTTCCGTTTCAATTGGTTTTTTTATTCACTCTGTATACACACCCGGTTTCTGGTCAAAACATACCGGCTGGTATGTAAGAAAAACGACGGTATAATCCTAATTCTGATAACAATATTCGAGTGGCCATAGATTTGCAAAATTAATTTTCACTGTCTGCTAACCTGGTAAGTCATACTACACACGAGTACGTCTAAAATTTAAAAAAAACATTTATATATCAAAATTAATGTTCATAATAGGAGTCATTTGAGCATTGGGACTATGGAACATAACGAATCAAGAATTGTACATTTGAATAATATAATATCATTACAATCGTTTCTTTTCTAATAAATCAGTCGGCTAAAGTGATTAAAATTCCGAAACGCCGTTTCCGTGACCGACGTAAATCCGTTGCGTTGACCGTTTTCTTCGTTTTTTGTACTTTGCTGTAATTTTTAAAAGCCCCGTTCCTTATTAATGAGATGTTTCCATTCTGAACGTGTAATCTCCAGTTTTGACAAAATTGAGTAAGACATCGATTCTTAGAGTAAAACTGGCGACTAAACACGATTATTATTTTCTACGTATTAATCAAATAAAAAATAGGTGTTTCGATTTAAAAAAAAATTAAGTTTTTTTTTTACAAAAAAAATTATGCTTCTTATAAATAAAATGTTCATTATTCTGAAATTTATAACCGTTAAGTTTAGCAAAAATAGTTATATATTTTCCAAAGAAAAGTGTCTTTATGTCTAACGAATAATTTTGTAAAGATTTGTTGTAAATACTTATTACGTACATCGTTTTCGTAAACCATATTTGATATTGCCAAGTTGTTTAATTTTGTAACTTCTAGTTTTCAATTGATATCTAGTTTAGTTCATCTGCTGTAATTTCATTGATCTTAATAATACCTAAATAAAAAACATAATATTTATGATTAATAATATTTGTATGCGTTGATTTGTAAAAATAGTTATAATTGAAAATGTTATTACTTTTATAGCGTTTTCCACTCTTCTGAACTATTGCATCCAGGTGACAAATGAACCGGGATAATCGTACTGAAATAAAAAAAACCTGTACAGTGGGGTCGGTGCATAGTGGGGACGGAGCATAGTTGGGTCGGGGCATAGTGGTGACGGGGAGGTCACAGGTTTACAGGAATTTTTAAATCTGAAAGTGATAAAATCACTTTCGAAAAAAACGCTTCGATGCAAATCGGTAGTTAGTATTTTCAAGCCAGTACAGTCCAAACCAAGCACAGTATAAACCAGCAAAGTTAGAAAGTTTTAAATGAAGGTTCTGTATTTACAAATGAGCATCAAAGCGTTAATTTGAAAGTGATTTTATCCGAGAGGACTAGTACAGTAAAGTATTGGCATAATGTAATCAAAGCAATGAGGAAACGGAGAGGTCACAGGTCTACAAGAATTATTATAAATAAAAGTGATAAAATTGAATAAAATCGCTTTCAAATAAACGCTTTGATGCCCATTTGTAAATACAGAACCTTCATTTAAAACTTTCTAACTTTGCTGGTTTATACTGTGCTTGGTTTGGACTGTACTGGCTTGAAAATACTAACTACCGATTTGCATCGAAGCGTTTTTTCGAAAGTGATTTTATCACTTTTAGATTTAAAAATTCCTGTAAACCTGTGACCTCCCCGTCACCACTATGCCCCGACCCAACTATGCTCCGTCCCCACTATGCACCGACCCCACTGTACAGGTTTTTTTTTTTTTTTGCAAAAACTTAGTGACCAAATAACACAAATACAATGTCTTGTTATATTTTGTTGGAATGGTCGACGATTCATGTTTCAATCGTTTGTACTCCATAGTTTAAATTATAATCGCTTATTCTCAATAAAATTAATATTTATGTATTATATACTTCCATTATAGCAATCTCACACAAACTATTTATACTTCACAGATTATATTATTTCAAAGCTATATTATACTTCTATTTTACTAGATTGACAATGTACAAAATAAAATGCAACTAAAAAAACCTTTTCATAGATCCTTAAAATGTAAAGGGTGGGTTAGTGAAACGGGTTTTACCATTTAAATACATTAGAAAATCGCCGTTTTACTGCCTCATCCTGTATATTAATTTCTTGTTATTTTCTAAAGAAAAATCGATTTTCTTACATTTAAATTAAAATAAATCGTATACTGGTACTGTGATAGAGAAAACAATAAATTTTACCTACATTTATTACTTATTAGTTGAATATTACTAACGTGTATAGCCACTAGCAGTCGGCTGTTGCCTGTTATTTAACAATAACCTTTTATGGAGATTTTAAAAATTGTGTTTTTTTAATAATAGCATAGGAGCAGTATCATGATGTTAAATGTTCACGAGATTTGATCTAGTCATAAAATAAAGTATTATCATTTATGACTTAATTATTATTAAAATTTATCTTAATAGTAATAGTACATAGTAATAAAATAATGAAAATTTTTTTACAAAATTAGAGCTACAAGTTGATAAACTAAAAAAATAAAATTAGCACGAAGCAGATTATCTAATATTAGACAATTTAAACAATCAAGCGTGAATCTCTTTAAATGAATAACAGTATAACAATATACAAAACATTAGTTTTCCTTTAAAAAAATTGTGTAATAAAAAAAACATTTTGAGGCGGTATACTGCATAAAAACCAACACTTAATCTAAATCCAAAAAACAACAGTCCTCTTCATTATTTGCAGGTAGTTGGACATTAAATACTCATAGTTAACCTTCGGTAAGGTTATATAACGCAGGCTATAAAATAACGAGATAACGACAGTGGTTTTGTCGTATCAGAATCATTAAGTGTCTTAACAAGTACACGGACAGGTTTTTTTCCCAAAAAATCGAGTGTCTACTATAATCAGTCACACGATTTAGTTTCTCACATCTGGTACACTGGGTTTTTAGTTTAAAAAAAACGGTTTTTTTTTTGTTTTTTCAACTTTCGTCTGTGAAGACTTAAACTTTTTCAACTTTTACCCCCCCAAAGTTCAAACTAGACAAAATTTGTGATTTATAGAGTAGCTATTCAAAGGAATTGGTCTAGTATTAAAAAAGTTACAGTGTATACAGCGAAAAAAAAAGCCCACATCAGAGTAAAACCAATACCTTCTCGCTTTGCATCGAAGCTAAAACATTTTTCTGGATTTTTGTGTAAAAGACATCAAAAGTGGTCAAATTATATGTTTTTTGGGTCGGTGATTACGAATTTAATATCAGTTCTCAATTTTAATCATCCGGAAAGAACTTAAGTAAAAAAAAAAAAAAAGTTGAATTTGTGTAAACTTCAAGTCAAAAGTGGTACTTGAGCACAAAACCTAATAGTATCAATCTGCATAGATATAAATAAAATTGTTTTAATGATTTGATCAATTTTTTTTAAATATTTTAGGTGTTTTTGTTAAAATATACGCAATGTGCGAAAACACGGTTTTCCGGCAATTAAAAAAAAAATGTAGTGCCGAATTTTTCACCCGCTACATATGTTATGGATACATATGAGTTTCAACTACTGACAATTTTTCAACCAGAAAGTTTTAAAATTACGGCTAAAAACCCCGAAAAACAAAAAAACTTGTACCCCCCCTAGGGGGGCGGGAATTGGGTATAGTTTAAATTTGACACAACTGACGTGCGCGGGCATACCAAATAAATATTTCTTATACATTTCAACTCGATCCGACTCTTTTTCTCGATACTATAGCCAGTAAAAGTTCTAACTTAAAAACTCGTACGGTTTTTTTTTGTTTTTTCAACTTTCGTCTGTGAAGACTTAAACTTTTTCAACTTTTACCCCCCCCAAAGTACAAACTAGACAAAATTTGTGATTTGGAGAGTTGCTATTCAAAGGAATTGGTCTAGTATTAAAAAAGTTACAGTGTATACAGCGAAAAAAAAAGCCCACATCAGAGTAAAACCAATACCTTCTCGCTTTGCATCGAAGCTAAAAACCCCTTCCAATGTTTTTTATTGATCTCGAACCAAGTATTAACAATAATGATATTTTCAAAGTAAACTCAATTTGTTACTCAAAAGTCAAATTTGAAGAACCTAAATTAAATAATTACCCTATACAGTGCTTGAGGTGCCAAAATGTTGGGCACACCAAGCGTTATTGTAATCACGAGCCCGGATGTGTGAAATGTGAAGGCTCACAATTAACGGATGCATGTCACAAAACCAATGACCAGCCCCCCAAATGTGCCTTGTGCGGGGGTGATCACCCAGCGAACTACAGAGGCTGTGTGGTATTCAAAAAAGAACAACAGCGTAGAACATCAAATTCAAAATCTAACGGAAATAATTATATTTTAAATCATAATATCGAACATAATTTTGTAAACAATGTCTTTACATTGTTTACAATGTAAAGACATTGTTGGCCCCTGTTGGTGACATCCAAATAATAGATCCCAATGTACATTCCCCCAACATACATAGAACATATGCCAACGTAACTCAACAACCTTACTCTTATAACAATATTCAAACCCAAAACAAAACTAATACTGACAACGATTTAACTAAACAACTTTCTTCATTTCTATCCGACCTTAAATCTTTAATCAACCCCTTAATATCCCTATTAACAACAGTAATAAATAAAATTATTCTAAAAAATGACAAATAATTCTAATCTCAAAGTCCTTCTTTGGAATGCAAACGGACTTCTACAACACAAAAATGAACTACAAACTTTACTTAACGACAATAATATTGACATAGCACTAATTAGTGAAACTCACTTTACTGATAAATTCACACTTTAAAATATATAAGTACAAATTATACAATACTAACCACCCTGATGGTACAGCTCATGCTGGTACTGCTATTTTAATATCAAATGCCATTCAACACAACGAAATTAAACCGTACCAAGAACCACACATACATGCGACAAGTGTGTCAATAAAAATTAACAATGTTCCTACTACTATTTCCGCTGTATACTGTCCTCCTCGTTATAGTATACATCAAGACGATTTTCAAAATTTTTTTAACACATTAGGTCATTCGTTTTTAGCTGTTGGAGACTTTAACTCAAAACATACATTATGGGGATGTTACTCGAAAAATCAAAGAGGAAAAATTCTCCATTCATTAATAACCAATAAACATTTTTCATTCATCTCTCCTCCAGGCCCAACTTACTGGCCAACTCACATCAATAGGCATCCCGATATTCTAGACTTTTTTGTTACTAAAATACCAAACCATATAATAACGAATATAGAAAACAGTTGTGATCTCTCTAGTGATCATTCGCCTGTAATTCTTACCATAGGTGGAGCATTTACAATGTCCTCCAGACCATCCCTCACCAATGGTCCTATTAACTGGGGAAAATTTCAAGAAGAATTGAACAAACATATTAATCTAAATGTTACACTAAAAACTCAAGAAGACATTGATAAGGCGGCTTATAACTTTGTTCAACTTATAAAAAACTCAGCACATAATGCAGCTACTCAATCAAATACTAATAAACGCACAACTAATTATAAACTTCCACTCCATATAAAATGCCTAATTGTTGATAAAAGAAGAGCTAGAGCCACATGGCAACACACTCGTTATTATTCTGATAAACGCGTATTTAATCATTTAGCTAATAAATTAAAAAAAGAACTCCAAAAATATAAATCAGAAGAATACGTAAATTACATAAGATCTCTCAACCCCATGGACAACTCTCTATGGCGAGCTACCAAAAGGCTAACTAAAACTAAAGAAACTATCCCACCATTACTTAAAGAAGATGGTACCTTAGCTATAACAGATGACGAAAAAGCTTTATTATTTGCTGAGTATATTAGTAATACATTCAAACCACACCAACTACGTCTTTCTCCCGACCTTTATAACATATTTACTGCTGATATGCCGCAAAGTTGTAACACATTACTAGCTACTTTTGCTGACGATACAGCTATTCTAAGTTGTCATAAAAATATAAATGATGCGGCTCACCATCTCCAATCACACACTAACACTTGTGAGAAATGG